CCCTTCACTTTCCTTCATATTCTCTTTCCCTTCTTCTTCTTCTTTTCTCCTCTTCTCCATTTTTCTTTCTTTTTTTCTTTCTTTTCCATTTTAGGGATTAAGCTTGTATTGTGGATTCAACACTTTGATTGAGATTAGTTGTAAGTTTTTCTTCTTCTTTAATCCATGGAAATGGTTGAATTTGGAGAAATGATTTATTGTGTTGAATTTATTTTGCGTAGCTAATTCTGATTGCTAGATATAGGGGATGATTGTTCTTGTTTAATTCGTAATTGTTGGGCTTTAATTTGTTCGTTCTTGTGCGAGTTGATTATGCTGAGAATTGATGAATTCTTGCTTGATAATTTGATATAACCTAAGAGTTACACTTAGGTTAATTTATTGATATAATCGAAGAGTGACACTTTGATTTTGCGATTGAAACGATTGAATATTGCTTTGTTGATTTAGGGTTTGTTGATTCTACATGATTAGTTGATTAAACACCTTCTAATTTAATTAGCGACTTTTAGAACCGAAAGGGAAAAAGTCGTAGACCTAGGCTCGTATGAGGTAGATGATTTCGTAACTGAATAATCTATGGTTTTTGATTGAAATACATGCTTGTCGGTGTCTTGTCCCTTGTTACGAAAAGTTATTGAGATTGGATAATTGACATTTATTGTATGCTAGAGGTTGTTCATCTATGTTCAATCCCTTGTTACGAAGAGTTATTGGGAGCGAACTGCTAGATGTTTAAGCGAGAGTGTCAATCCGGAATAGAATGATCAATGTCCCGGTTTTGCAAATAGAACTTGAAATGATTATCCCCGATTCCCTAGCTTCTCATCTCGTGTCATTTATATTTTTAGGTAGATTGTTGATTTTCGTTATTTCTTAGTTAATAATTGCTCCAATCCTCTATCTGATTAGTATGTTTAGGTTTTATTTTCTTTTTATGTGTGATCAATACCACTTCTAAATTCCGAACCGCCTTTCTCGTGAGATCGACCCGGGCAACGAATCTTTCGATTCGGTGCTCAGTAAAAATAACAATTTGTGCTACAACAAATTTTGCGCCATTGCCGGGGAAGACAAGTAGGATATTTGGCCTTGGTATTGAAATGATATTAAAATACATTTACATATAAATAGTTATAGTAGGAAATGATATTAAAATACAATTAATACTTCTAAAATGATCATAAATAAATCAACATATTTATAGTAATCCGAACATAATTAGTTTTGGATTGGAATTAAATTAAAATCTATCCAAGTCAAATAACAAATCTAGAATTTTGACACATAGGATTCTGAAGCATGCGAACATGCAACTTAGGCTCAACACATTCGGAAATTATATATAGTGGGATGTCTTTGTGTCATGTGTTTACTACTAGTCGTTTTGATTGGCTTAAATATTTTGGTGTGAAGTACAATAACAATATTGATAATAATTATTTTTCAAAATCATAATAATCTGTTAAAACTCATACTTACATGTGAAGTGAAATAACAAAATTGTAATATACAAGGAATCTAAGATCATATTACTTACTTGCTGAAAACATTTTACACGGCACAATTCTAGTTAAACAGGTCTGTCCTAACAGGTTTCAGGTTAGCCCTAGCGGGCTTCGGGCTAAACGGTCTAGGCCTAAAAAACTCTGATTTAAACGGGTTACCAATAAATGTCTCTAATCCTGCTTTTTTCCAAGCTAAACGGGCAGCCCCTCGAGCCAAACACGTTTAACATTTATAAATATTGCTATCTATATATATATAATTGTAGGTTATATCCAATTAACGTGGATAGCCTACTTTTCCCGTCCAAACTAATTTTGGCTCAACAAGGTAAGTTTTTTTACTTAATACCACATTAATGTTTTTTATTTTGCTTTTTTTTTTACTAATTGAAACTGAAAGATGTGTACGTGACATATTGAAGCCAAGTTGCTTAAATTAATTTATTTTATTATTGTTATTTCTTTCTTCGTTTTGTAACATCTTTGAAGAAAAAACTAAAATTTAAAACAATAAAAATCAACAACAAATATTAACATATAAAATCCAGTTAATACTGTTATCATTTTTTTTAATATAATTTCCTGGTGTACTCATCTAATTATTCATGCAAAATGATAACAAAGATTAGTGATAATATTAAAATAAAATAATAAAATCTAACAAATTAATGTAAATACTTTTTATTGTAAATACATAATATATATATATATATATATATATATAATTGCTAGCATGTCAATAAATTTTACTTAATAAATAAAACTTATTTAATTTTACTTAATAAATACTACAACCTTCTATATACAATGAACGTTATTTTTACAATCAGGGATTATTATTATACATTATAACGTTTCATTCTTTTAAATGGTATGTTCATCTTTTTATTTTCTTTTATGAGTACATCTAATAAAAACTAATTAAAATTTAAAACAATCTATATATATAATTAGGGATTGTCACATCAATAAAAATTTGCATATTTCACTCTTTTTTTTTTATACATAGTAGCTTGGTTTTTTTACTTAATATGTAAGCATACTAATGTTGAAATTAATTGTACGGTTTTATCCGCTCATTTAATTATTCTAACTTTATTCTATATATTTCTTAAATAGAATGATTACAAATTATTCTACCAAAACCTGTGGGTATCATACAAAAATAGAAAATAAAAATAAAATAATCATTCTTATAAAAGACAATTTATTGTTGCATAAGAACGTGTTTAATTTTTTTCAAAATGCATTCGTTTAAATAAAATTCATAGCCCCAAATAGTAGTAGTAATGATAATAATAATAATAATAATTAATGTATTTTATATAAATATCATACCCGTTATGATTGTATTTATATTCCTATATATAACTATTGACAAATAATTTATTGCAAAAATAAAATCAGCGTGTTTAATTCAACTAATTGTAAAAAGAAACTATTATATTTTTCATTAATTAATTAAATTATATATTTTATAATTACATAATTACTAATATTAACTAATCATAAGTGAAACTAAAGGATATAAGAAAGTTTATACATATAAAAAAAGTTATAGATTTTTAAACTACTTATTTAAAATAATAATTATTTTTTAACTTAATAATATTTTTAATAAAAATAGTTAATTACTTATTATGGCATAACCAAATAATTTTTATCTAATTAATTGGTCATAATCACTATTATTTTCTACAATTATCACTATAGTGATTTATATGTAGTTTAAATAGTTTATACTTATATCATTTATATTTACAAATGGCTTTTATGTTTGATAATATTGAGGTTGATTCGCCATTATTTAACAAGATATTTGATAAAATGAAAATAAAAGGTAAAAATATCAAAATGGCGGATTGGAGTACGTAGTTTACGATGTCAAGGTATACAATTTTTTCAGTATTTTTTAACACATTCTACTTCAATATCGATTTTTTATAATATTATTTTTTTATCGTGTAGGTCCAGCGAATTCACGCTTCAGGCCCGGGTTGCTTCGCTGAAAATTTTAAGAAGTTTAAGATCAATGAGGGTCGTATTTATGCCATAGAAAATTTTAAGGTGTTTCCCGACCAAAATTATTTGCCATAGAAAATTTATACAACAAAAACGATTCCAAAACTTTATCCACGAAATAATACAAAAAGCATACAAATATATCAAACCAATAAACAAACAATTCACATCTAGATCAATAGCTTCCCCGTTGATAAATTAAAAGCATGTCTAAGACGGCTAAACAAATAGGAATTGATCCGAGTGTTTGTCTCCGATTAGAGAAAAAAATTAAAAGTGAAGAAGAAACGGCGAAAATGTTGCACGTGGTAGGACTTCATGCATCACATACATGCCTCTACCACCTTCTTAAATGTTCTATATATGTGTGGTGGATAAAACTTTGGACGTGCTATATGAGTCCGAACAGCCCTCATCAGTGCATCAATCTTCGCCTTAAAGACACGCCAAATTATATTTAGACGGTCGTCAGGGTTGAGGTTCCTCTCAGAAAGGAATCGACTGATTTCAGGCCACTTGGGGTTGCAGGTGATAGTTATGAAGATATTAGGATAACCGGTACAACGACAAATGATAATCGCATCCAACGACAAAGGGTGCACTTCAATTAGCAGCCCATAAAATTCTTATCTATCATTTATATTTTCTTTGATTAGTGTACAATTCGATTAATATGTTTTTGTTCTCCGAATTTGAGATCAACAGATACTCGATTAGTTATTACTAAGCTCAGCAGCCATGTATTCGAATGCAAAATATGAACCGGTGCCAGAGCTGGTGATAAGGTTCTTATTCCCATGCTCAAAATCATACCATCCGATTTGAGGGTACCTTTCAAGTTTCAGCGCAGGCAGTTTCCGCTCATGGTTTCCTATGCTATGACAAACAATAAGAGTTAAGGGCAGTGTCTGTCGCACATCATCTTACCACTGAAGAGCCCTGTATTTAGCCATGAACATTGTACGTGGCGCTTTCTATATATTTTTATTTTATTCTTTATCATATAGCTTTCTGTGCAAATGCACAAGTTTCAACTAGTATGAATAATCATTACTTATTCTTTATCCACTTATTATTATTTTATTACTTCTAAATTAAATGAATTTTATTATTATTTTCTTTTTTTATTTATTTTTCTCATCAAAATATTTTTACTTGCAAAATAAACATATTTGTGAATACTTGTTTAATTTTTTATAAAATTATCATTTATTTCTTTTACACAATCTCATTAATGTAATAAAAAAACAAAAGCCAATTATTCTTGCATCTAAAAACAACTTATATTTTTTTATTCACTTTTATGTCCTTTTTTCAATAACTCTGTTTTCAAGAGACAACGTTTTGTATAAAAATTCCATTTTAATAATCTAAGCTGTAATTAAACAAAAGAAAAAGCTTTTCTAATCTTCATTATGAACAGAAAATTGTTTTAAAAAAAGTTTTCATATCCAACCTAAAGCCCTAAAGATGGCGGATCAATTTCTCGTCCGGCAATTTCTCCGCCGGTGGCGCCCAAGTACCGCCGCGTCCAGTTTAAGAGGAACTTACCAACAGAAATATGCTTACGCCACCTCCACCAGCGAGAAAAACTGCGAAGAGGAAAAGGATTGTAACCGATGGCTGATCTTGCCTTCTTTCAACCCCGCCGCCGATGGTACTTCAATCGGGAAAAAGCTCCACGGCCGGACGTCCGACGCCAACATGACTTCGAGTAAGTGGATTCATAAATGCTGCCCTGAACTCCCGAGGTCTCTTGTTCAGAAACTCTTCCGCCTGAGACAGGTCCTTTCCTTGGTCACACTGAACTGTGAACACTCAAGCAGCCGCCAAACATGTCTAAGTGTTGAAATAGATTTTTTGACTTCGTTTGAGTTGCTCCCTGAGGAAAAAAAATATTTGCCTCTAGAGATAATTCCTATTAGCTTATTTCTATTCGCATGAGAGTGATGAGTAAGCTACAGATTAATGATTGCTAAAGGAATGTTTATCCGCTAACATTGTGAATTCTTCTTACTTTCTGAGTGTTACAAGTAATGTGGACCACGAAAATCTCAAATTTGCACAATTTTATTTGTTTTTCTTAATTTAACTAGTGTTGTTTTGTTAGCTCGTATGCTGTATAGTTGGGGAAGGCATGAAAAGTAATGAAAATTATGACAGACGTTTTCATTTCTCTCATTTGTTTCATGATAACATATCTGTTTGTGCATGATTGTTGGTTTTGTTTGATAGCCAATGAGACAACATTACCTTAAATGACCTATAAGCTGACTCGCCACAGTTACCAGTTTCATATGTACGTGCCCGCCATTTTTTTTTTTTCAAAATAAGCAGATTTGTGCATGTTGAACAATGACGTCTTTTGCTTGCTCGTCCTTTGATTGCTTCAGGTTCGAAAAGAGGTCTCCAGTGCTGAAAGTAACCAAAAACAACAGAAAAGGGTAAACTAGGTGTTCCCTTTTTACAATACTTTACATCAATTTCGTCTCATTCGGCAATGCAAGTGGTTAATGTATTTTATCTAATGGTTTCTAAAGGTAGGAGCTAAAGACTTGATGGACATTGGTGACAAATTATTGCTCCCTAAATCTGTTCATCTCAAGTTCCCGTCAAAAACAGTGGAGAGTCGGAGTTTTCTCACTGAAGAAGAATCGGAATTTATCCGTAGCCTTGAGTTGTATAGGGTATAGAGATTGAAATAATAATTGACATCTTAAGTAGCAAGGTTGCTATTTTCAGTTGTGTCGTATTATTCTTGGAGGAATGCTCAATCTTCCCATTTGCATGATTTTAGGATCCAGCCATAATTGTCCTCAATAAACCACCTGGGATGCCTGTGCAGGTAGATGTAGATCATGACTGCTTTTATTTGGCTGCAGTAAATGTTTTGCCTCTCATCTTCAACAAAATTCTTCCCAGGGTGGAATTGGGATAAAGAGAAGCTTAGATGAATTGGCCGCCAAGTATTTGAAATATGATCATTCCGAGCATCCTCGTCTGGTGAGTTCTAGAAGTTCGAGTCAATGTTCACTTTGACTTTTCACATATTAAAATTGTTAGTTCTTTTAGAAGGTAACCTTGGGAAAGCTTTTTTGTAGGTGCATAGACTTGATAGAGACAGCAGTGGTATCTTAGTGATGGGGAGGACTCAATTGAGCACCACCGTCCTGCATTCCATTTTTCGTGAGAAAACATTGGAAGCATCAAATGATGTGTGAATTCTTTTCCTCCAACAGTACATTTATTTTTGTTGTTGATTAGTAGATCATGTTCTATTAGCTTACTAGATAATAGAATACCACTCTTCAAATTACATTTCGATATCTAGTAGAAGCTTCACAACTGACTTATCACTTTTGCATAGCTTCCTAACAGAGACAAAGTCCTGCATAAAAAGTATTATGCTCTAGTTATTGGATGTCCAAGACGTCGAGAAGGATTAATTTCTGTGCCGTTAATGAAGGTTTATTATATTTGTGCATCTCTGAGTACTTTAAGCAGTGTTCAATTCTCTTTGATTTGTCTATGCTCTATTTCTTTGCACTTTCTCGCTTACACCGTTATTTTGGTTTACATAGTTAAATAGTTATTAGTTGGTCGAATATATCTTTTGGCAAAAGCTTTATGGTTTATGGATTTAGATGGTATCAGGTCATGTTTTTTTTTTTTTTTTTTTTTTCTGTAACGATGGCTTAAATTTAAAAAACTCGATGTACGAGTATAAGATTCGTCTATGCCTGAAAATTCTAATTCTTGCTGGCGTCATATTTTGCATGAGGTCGCCAACCTTTGATGTTGTCTTATTATTCATTACTCAGTATGTATAGGTTAATAAAACATGAACGTTGCCAATTTTATTTTAGTTTTTTTTTTTTTTTCTTGAGTTACATTTATGCTCGATTGATTGGCTTTCTCCATTATCATATATGATATTTTTGTTATTTTTTTTTTTCGCCATACAGTTGATATCCTGGTTTCTTTATTTCTTTGCTCCTATTAATTAGGTTATTGTTGACAACGGGAACTCTGAGAGAATTACAGTAGTTGACAATAACCACTCATTGTCGGTGCAGCATTCGATGACAGAATACAGAGTGATTGCATCGTCGCATGGTTTGTTTCTAAAAATTGTGTCAGAAGCTTCTATAATTTATGCCTAAAATTTTTGTTTTTTCTTGTTTGATCTTCTATTCCAGGTTGCATTATTGCTATGTGTCAGAAACTACATGGCCAATAAAATTTATGAGTTTTTGGCTCATCTTCTATTTACCCCTCCCATCACATGTAACTTATTCTTGTTCAGCCCTCAGATTGGTCATTATTATGTGGAGACATTATAAGTGCCTTGTTGCTTAAAAGGAGGAGGCAAAAGCATTACTACGTGTTTGTATACAAATATATCCGCTCAAAACGTGTTTTTTTTTTCTTTTTTTTTGTTAACTATGGTTAATTTTGAAAAAGTTGATATGGTAGTTGTTAGTGGGGTTTTGAGTTTATATCAATAATATTAGAAAATAATAATTAAAGTTAAATTGATGTAAAAGTATGAGAAAAATGATGTGAAGTGATGGTTAGTTATAATTATGTGAGTGGAAGAATAGTGAATTTAAGTTGATGTGATATGTAAGAATGATTGGTTGGTGTTTAGTAATTATGTTAATAATATTGAGGATAGTAGGGTTGGGTTAAAGCTGAGTTAGATTTTGAGTATGAATTGAGTATTATTTGAAATAATTGATAAACAAACACACTCTAAATGTTTTAAGTAACTTTTGCTTTAGATTTTTGTGTTTCTTCAAATTCTATGGGCTAGCTGATGGTTCCGGAAAGAAGAGACGAGCCAAATGAACTTTTATTTTGATTGTCTGTGTACATGTGATGAATGCCCTTTTGTTTCATATTATGTGAAAGGTGCGTGAGATATTACCTGCCACTGTGGTGCAGCGAGGCATTATGGATCATTTATTGTGTTTACTGATACAACATTGAAAGTATGTTGTGATGTGTTTTTTTTTTGGCTGAAAAAATGGTTAATTGCAGGCTATTCATGGTTAGAGTTATTACCGTTTACCGGAAGAAAGCACCAGGTTTTTATGACATCTTCATATGGCATAAAGTCTCTTTTACTTTAGGGATGATTGCAAAAATAACCCTCGACATTTTTGGCACGATTGAAAAAAGAAGGGGTTAAACAAATATGTTTCAGAGTTGTAATATCACCTTAAGGTAGATTTGTTTTGGACAAGACTTTATCTTAAGGGTATTTTTGTAACCATCCCTTAACATTACAAGTTTCCTTTTTTTTTTTTTTTAATTAAATGGTTGGGCTAATAAGGATACTGATACTGCCTCTTTTGCTTTGGTATTTGTCATGATTAATAGCTTCGTGTTCACTGTGCTGAAGTCTTGGGAACACCAATTGTTGGAGACTATAAATATGGGTGGCAAGCTCACAAGAAACTAGGACAATTCACAGAATCCGCTTCGGAATTTATACGGGATCACAAAATAACCAAAATCAAACACGATTCCATTGGATTCGAGTTGGAGGATGGAAGCATATCTGATAAGCAGCCATTTCTTCATCTTCACTGTAAAGAAATGGTTTTGCCCAATATATCACAGGCCTTGCAAGGTGGCCACATGATTTCCGATGTCAATTATGCTCGAATTGAGAGTATAAAATTAGATGCTCCTTTGCCTGCACACATGCAGAGAAGCTGGGACTTGCTAAATTAGTATCTTAGTTTGGCCACAATGGGAACATTGTACGGGCCTATTGATTAGTCTCCACGAACAGTTACAAACATGCCCTTTGAATTGGCCCCAAAGGACTAAGGTGCTGCCAAGGGGACAAAAGCAATCATCTTTTGAGATTACAAACATGAAATCATCCCCGAAGGACTAAGGTGTTGCCAAGAGAATGAGGTCACTGGAAGTTATGGATAAGTTGCCTTCATTATATGATATTCTATCGGCACGTCAGTGAATTCTTATTAATAGAATTTATGAATCGAGCATAACTAATCCTCCAATTGTCTCAAGTATCATTACAGACTACATTTAGTAATCTTATTCTTATAGTTTATTTCATTAACGTATAAGCTTTATGTATTGAAATAAACTTGATTTGGTAATACGAGTTTTTTTTTTTTTTTTAAAAGCTCGAGTTTATCTCATAAGCTTCGTTGAGTAGCTTTTCAAATAAGCATGTTGAAAATTATTTAAGCACGCTTTATCATATAAGTTAGTTTTTTTAGGAATAAGTCAAGCTTGAAATTTACTTAAAGGCTATAAGCTAGCTTATTAACTATAAATTAATTTTATCAGTTAAGTTTTTACCAAACACAAGAATTAGTCAAACTTGAAATTTACTTAAACGCTATAAGTTGGCTTATTAACTATAAATTAATTTATTAGCTAAATTTACTAAACATGACTATAGTGTCCACACATAGTGTGTCCTTGAGTCTAAATGACTAAAGAGGTTGCTAATAGAGCTGTCAAAACAGGTCTGCGGGGTGGGCCGACTCGTAACCCGCCAATGCGGGCGGGGTGGGATGGCCCCGCCACCCTTGCGGGCCTGCAAAATGCTGGCCCAACCTGCCCTCGCCTCATGCCGCAGAATCGGCGAGCCAGACCCTTTTTTTTTGTGAATCGCTAGTTACTGCCCCCCTTTTACTAATTAACGCCCCTTTTTTACTAAAATACCCTTCAACCTAAATTGAATACTCTCTCTACTCTCTCTATCTCTCTAAAACCGAAACTTCAACGAGCCATTCGAGCTTAAAAAAAACCAAAAAAATGTCGAAAAAATCCTACGGCATCGGCAAAGCATTGTTCTCGAGCAAGGTATTACAATTTATATCTATTTAAAAAAAAAATATGTGCCGCGTCCGCTCGGCGCATCTGGACGCAGCTTGGGCCGTACGGTCGGTGATCCCGTACGGCCCGCGAGGCGACCGGTCACCGCGACCGGTCGCCCGTTTTGGCGTTCGGCCCGACCCGTCCGAGCGCCGCCCTACCTGTCCGTTTTTGGGAGCCGGACGGACGGGATAAAAACTGGCCGGACAGTTTTTTTTTAATAATATATTAATAATTATAATATATTAATAATTATTATAATAAAAATTTTAAAAAAATAAATTAAATTAATGATAATTATATTATCATAATTAGTAATAATAGTAATAAATAAATAAAAATAAAGTTATTAATAAAAAATTAATTATTAAATTTTTTTTTAAAAAAATTAAAAATTAAAAAAATAGTAATTATATTTTTAAAAATTAAAAAATAGTAATTATATTTTTTTAAAAAATAAAAATTAAAAATTAATTATTAATAATAGTAATTTTTTTTTTTTAAAGAAATAAAATATTTTAAAAAAATTAATTATTAATAATTATATTATTAATGAATAATTAGTAATAATAGTAATAAATAAATAAAAATTAAATTAATTAATTATCATAATAAATAATAATAAAATAATTTATTTGATTAAAAATTAATGAATTATCATAATAATAATAATAAATTACTAAATATTAATAAAAATATTACTTTAATAATAATAATTATAGTCTAAAAGAAAAAATATTATAAAATATTAATTATAATAATTATAAAAAATTAGTGAATATTAGTTAATTACTATTATAATAGTTATTACAATATTTATTAAATAAGAAATTGATTAATAAGTTATTAATATTAACTTAAGACGTTATTATAAGTAAATTAATTAATTCGTATCATTAATTTAAAATTTGACTTTAAAAATTTAATTTAAACAAAATATTTACAATTTTTTTAAAAAACAAATTATATTTACGAATTTTTATTTTAAATTGGTGATTTAGGGTATTACTAGGCCTGAACAATCTGATAGAGACGGCGATGAGTTCGATGAGTATATTGACGGTTTTGGACCCGACACCCGAATCGTCGGGGTGTAACTGCGTCCGCTCGTCGGGATCGAGAACTCATTATCCAAGAGGCTCGGAGGATACAGACTGGCCAGGCAGGCAGTTCGAGACTCCAGACACCTCCACTACCAGTTGGTGAGCAGGGATACAGTGGCCCACCTCTACCAGTTGATCAGAGGGGATATGGTACACCACCAGTAACGGTTGGTAAGTAGGGATATGGTGCACCACCAGTACCAGTTGGTAAGCAAGGATATGGTGCACCACCACTATAAGAGCTCAGTCAGCATAGATATGTTTTTGCTGGCCATTCAGGCAGTTCGATACCCACTCCACCAGCACCAGCACCGGACGGTCAGCAAGGATATTATGTTGATGAGTCGGTAGCCCAGATGGATGAGGATTATGACAAGTCGGCATCTTCATATGATGAGGACGATGACGATATTCCTGCACAGGCTACGGTTCCTGTGCGGCCTGCGGCTCCTTCACGGCCTGTTCATCCTGCTCCTCCACGACAGGCTAAGGGGCGTTTTGCTAGCACTGGATCCTCAGGTAAATAATTTACGTACTTATTGTTGTTTGTCATTAAATATTTCGACTTAATTATAACAAGTTATTGGTACAGTTAGTGACATTATGTTCTATTCTAATGCAGGTACTAGCAAACGATCTAGGACTGATCGTGAGGCAGACTAGATCGTTAGAGGTCCAATGGCCGGTGGGCCCATGGTTGGCAGTGTGATCCCTAGCTTTCTAGGGCACGTAGCCTCCCGGTTGTGGAATGGAGAGTGCCGAGGCTTACTGAAATGCCATCACAGAGTGCAAGCGTTTGGTAATCTAAAAGATTGGCGAGGTGAAATGTCTTCCAAGACACTTGATATGATCAAGGATACTGGACTGTCACATCTGGCAGACTCCATGCACGCCCACTTAGACACTCCACTGCTTACTGCATTTGTGGAGCGATGGAAGCCAGATACTAACTCGTTTCACCTGCCTTTTGGTGAAATGAGCATTATGTTGCACGATGTCCGGGCCATTTTGGACATTCCTGTTGAGGGATCCATGGTCGTTGAGGAGCCGGATTCAAAGGCCTGTCAGGCTTACTGCATGGATATACTTTCAGTCAGTAAGGCTGACCTCGTTAGGACGTTCTAGCAGCGCGGTTCTGTGGCAGAAGGCTCCGTTGTGGAGAAATTCAGAGGTACAGACCAGTTGGCGTCGGATGAGGCTGGTGCCTGGATTTGGTTGTTGCTGTCTACCACCTTGTTCCGCGACAAGAGTGGTATTAGAGTGACTCCTAAGCTCCAAGCTGAGGTGCTTAACGACGTGGATTCCATTGGGGGTTACTCGTGGGGATCGGCTACGCTGGCATATTTGTACCGACAGTTAGGTATTGCCAGCAGAGGGGACTCCAGACAGCTTTCCGGCTGCTTGACTCTTATGCAGTCTTGGATTTATGAGTATTTCCCCGATTTCCGACCCCTGGGGGGGCGTCTACCCCTTGGTCCTAACGACTCCGCACGATCTCAGATGTGGAGCCCACCGGCGGGTCAGAGGAAGGATGAGCGTCTCATAGCCATCCGTCGGAGACTTAACATGCTCACTGCTCCGATGTACGTAAAGTTATTTTATTTAAATTTAGTTACTCGTTATTTAAAATAATATAAATATTATTATAAATGTTTTTATGCAATTATGAACAGGTGCAATGATTGCCATACGACACCTCTAGCCCACATGAGATAGAGTCGAGGACTCTTTATTGCGGGTTATTCCGGTACCGCGATATCGTCGAGCCGTACTTTCATGTGTGGTTTCTGCGGCAGTTGGGGTATATCCAGACAGTCCCTCCCCCTATGTTCACGCCAATCAGTGCCTGCCGTCCTTGGGAGTCGAGGCTCTACAAGGTTGACAATTTTGATGTCACTGCAGTATCTATGTGGAACCAGTTCCCGGTATCGCAAATCGTCAACTCCAGTATGTATAAGGTCAGCACAGATGATCGAGCAGAGGCGACTGCGGAGTACATGCAGTTGTACCGTCGGGTTTTCCATCCTAAATGTTTGGGCGAGAATCTGTCAGACCAGAACGAGGTCCCTACGCGTGCCAACAACGACTATGTAAGTCTTATTCTAAATTGTAGTTGTTATTTGATTACAATAATTTTATTTTTTTATAGGTATTTAACATAATTTTTTTTTCCTTCCATTTTTTGTAGTGGGTGGACCGTATTGCCAGCCTTTTTACAAAATCCTTGCTGGGATTTTACAGGTTATGATCTTGTGCTGGTGCAGCGGTACGCAGATGAATTGGCTAAATTTAAGGCGAATTATGCCAAGTCAAAATAATTATGTAATGAATGTTTTTTATTTTTTTATTTTATTGTAAAACATTAATGAGATTGGTGTGTATTTTTTCTTTTTTTTTTAGACTACATTATTTGAACTCAAATATTCCATAACAATGATGTTTGACATAATCAATGTGAAATGGTGATAAAAAATATATGGTTCGGCTACTCCACACGAGTCGTGTGGGGATTGTAGGTCGGGAGTTTAGTGCAAATTTACTCTGCAGAAAAGTTGGTTTCGAGAGCATAATTGGATTGAGGGGTTCGTTAGCGACGCGTAGGAATAAACGGAACTCAATTCTGAGTTCGTACGAGCTCAAACGAGCCCGAAACATAGTGTGGCGCAGTGCAACCCAGAATCTCGCGACTCGCGACACAAAGTCACGAGTAGAGTCGCGACTCGCGAGATGAAGTCGGGAGTCATGATTTTGGCATTTTCGGCTCTTTTAAAC